AAGTGGCTTGAAGATGTCTGAGTGTCTAGGATCAGATTGATGCAGATTGTGAGGATGGTATCAGATGCAAACAGAATTCAGGGTTTGTTCAGAAGCATATCCTAATCTTTGCTGCAGGGGTCAATGCATTCATACATGAACATTATCTGCTTGTGTGCATGTGCTTACCATTATTTTTCATTCTGTGTAGACTGTTCACTTAATGCCCTGAACAATTCAGCTGTCCTAAGGACAAATAATGCATAATCTGATCCAAGTAGTGCTTTGGGAACAAATGAATTCAGAAGCATATGGCTTTGTTGCACATTCCCAGAAGCGACATGCATTTGTGACTCTCTCACGTTACACTGACTGAACTCTGTAAACAGTAAAAGTACGTAAACAGATCCACGTTATTTAAAATATTAAAAATCATTGAAAGAATCAGTATGTTGTATGTTCCTTAGTTTGTTTCTTTTATCAAAGAGACCGTGCACTGGGGGTTTTAAACACTGATGCTTATGAACCCCCAGATATAATGATACACTTGCCCTCTTTCTGAATTGTAAAAGGCAGCCATATATTTGTGTAATTTTTATGTGAAAAATGTAACACTATAACTGTAAATTTTTTGCTCACCATACTGGTAACTGTAAACCTTAAGAGAAGCATAAAGCTATGGCTGTCAATTATTAACAAAAATTATTGTGATTAATCTTATGATTTTAGTCTTTTGATGGTTATTTAGAAAGCAGAATAAACCATAATACTGGTTTTACCTGACTTGTTGTTGTGTTTTTTACATTACTTTTAACAAAAATATAATTCATTGTGTTTGTATAGTGCTTTTCTTGACACTTTGCTTTGCAGATTGCTTTACACATTTTTGAAGGAGGAAATCTCCTCAACCATCACCAGTGTGCAACATCCACCTGGATGTGAAAAATGTAAATATTATAACTAAAATATTATTTGGAAAGAACTTACACTGTATTTTTGGTCACACTTTATTTTAAGGTCCAATTCTCACTATTAACAAACCATTAACTAAGACTTTTGGCTCAATAAACTCCTAATATGCTGCTTATTAATAGTTAGTAAGGTAGTTGTTAAGTTTAGGTATTAGATTAGGGATGTTGAATATAATCATGCAGAATATGTGCTTTATAAGTGCTAATAAACAGCCAATATGTTAATAATAGGCATGCATATAAACAATAGTGAGAATTGGTCCCTATACTAAAATGGTACTGTACTGCTCACCATTAGAGTACTGTTAGTTAGTATAAACCTGAAGAAGAAAAAAGGAGAAAAATTAAGCTTATATAATGTATAATATGGCTGTAATGTGTTTTGAATGTTCCTGTATACTTCTATTGTAAGTGCAAGTACTGTAACCATGAGTTTTGCTTCTTTTTTTTAAACTGAGAAGTTATTTTATGTAGTAATCTGCATTTTTGAGCTTAACGTATACTGAACACAAAACATTCCTTTAAACCGAAATCATATCTTATAAAAACCTGGGAAAGGAATTGTAAGAGGAAAAACATCAGAATAATCTGCCAGTCATTTGTTGTTGATTTCATACAGAGAGGCGTAGTTGTTATAGTTGATCAGCCCACAATGTGTGTGTGGGAGACTTTTTTTTCAGAGCTAGTACTAATCCTTCCTCTCCTCCTCTCCCACACAGTCCTTTTCATTTCGTCCCATTTCTCGCTTTTTTCTCTCTCGATCAGCCGTCATCTTCTGGCATGTCTTTTGTTTCTTTCCTCGCTCCGTGTTCCTGTCTTGCCGCCGCTTGACTAGCGCGAGTCTGACAGTGTTATTGATGTATAGTGTTCACGGCTGCTTTCCACACAGCCTGGGGAACTTTACTCGCTGGAAGATGGAAAATGTCAACTTTGTTTACGAGCTCTGCAGAGCCTAAGCTAATATTATTAATACGTTGCAACTACAATGGAACCAACTTAACATTTAGCCCTGTGATATTACTGTGAATTTCTTGGTGCTGTTTGAAGAGAATGGATGTCGTAGACCTTTACTGAGGTGACCTGGTACCGACCTTGAAAACTGCCAAGCACATAGGCTGCTGACAGTTACACAAAACAGGGCTGAGGTGCAAATACCAGAATTAAAATGCAGTGAGAGATTGCATGAAGCATCTTAAAGGGATAGTTCACCCAAAAATGAAAATTCTGTTATAATTACTCACCCTCATGCCTTTCTAAACCGATAAGACCTTCGTTCATCTTTGAAACACAAATTAAGATATTTTTCGATGAAATCCGAGAGCTTTCTGACCCTACAGAAATGCAACTGACACGTTCAAGGCCCAGAAAGGTAGTAAGGTCAACCTTAACCTTAATTTCATGAAGCTATGAGAATACTTATTGTACTATCCCTTTAAGTGCATAAAAATGAGCAAATGAATGAAATCTGGGGTTATTTCAGTTGCGATTAGGTAGTTTAAGTGTGCTATTAATTTAGGAATTAAATTGAAGATTTTTAATTCCTTATTACCCTAAATAAATTTTAATTCCCTGGATATTTTCTTTTAGCTACTTTACAACATTGCTCAGCACTGTGCCTGAAACGTCTTTTCTGTTGATATTAATAATATAACTTTCTAACTGTTGTGTGATTAATTTCCTCTTTATGTGGTCACAATAGAGGCTTTTCTTCTTAAGTGATTTGCTTTTTTTAGTTCATTCATTGTTGCTTCAGCCAGTGATACTGTATTGTCCTCAACCTTCTGGTCTGAGGGAAATGGTTTTATTTGAAATTTTAATAGTCTGGCTGCTAGTGGAAAATGTCATTTGGAACATTTTTGCCCTGTGAAGTCAGATTTTATTTTTCAGAACTGAAACTGTGAAATACTTAACCATATTTTGGAGACAGATTAGTACAGGGGTGCCCAAACTCGGTCCTGGAGGGCCGGTGTCCTGCAGAGTTTAGCTCCGGCTTGCCTCAACACACCTGCCTGGAAGTTTCTATGCCTAGTAAGAGCTTGATTAGCTGCTTCAGGTGTGTTTGATTAGGGTTGGAGCTAAACTCTGCAGGACACCGGCCCTCCAGGACCGAGTTTGGGCACCCCTGGATTAGTACTAAGGGTTAGGATATTGTGTTTTCAACTTGTTGTTTATTAAAACAATAGACGTCTATGGAATTGTCCCCATTTAAGTAGCTCAGTAAACATTTGTGTGTGTCAGGTTCCCTACATTTTAGGCATCAAATTTCCCAACAAGGATCGTAAAACCTGAAATCACTTACATTGTGGTACCAGCCAACAGGTCCAATGTGGTTTTACTTAATAAGCATACAGAATATGATCACTCAGAACGGGTTTGGTTTAGGGTTTGAAGATAGAAATATCATTAGGTCAGTATAGATGTCAGTGGAAAATCCCTACCAGGATAGAAAAACGTGTGTTTGTGTGATTTTCTTTCTGCCAGGATTTGGATTTAGCCCACTTTATGACCGCTGTACTAACAATTACAAATATAACATCTCTGCTGTAAAAGTGATAGTCTAGCAGGCAAAGTGTGTGTGCGCAATCTGTTGCTGCCTAGCGAAGCCGGTGATATTTAGCATGTGCGCTGGGTTCCTGTGACCCTCTGTTTCACAATGAATAATTTAACATCATTGCATATGGCATATGTCAGCCTGACACATTCTCATTTCTATTTAAAACACAAATGCACACACACATACTCACAAATATGTGACAAACCTAATGCCCTCATGTTCACACATGCAAAGCGCATCCATCCAGTGAGTAATTCTTGCCATCCACACCTCCCACGAATAAGAGTCCGCTCGACGCCTGAAACATAGACAGGGAAACGAGAGGAAAGTAGGGAAAAAAGAGATGAGAGGAGTGGGAGGCTTATATAAAGGTTCTGACACCGTACTGTACTGTGAGAGTCAAATGCCATGACTATTTGTGTATGTGTTTTTGTCTGCTTTTAGTATCTTCGTGAACTTACCCAGACTCTAATGCAAGGATAAATCAATACAGCCATATGTGTGTTTCTTCAGCTAGCCCTGTAGACATTTAACAGAGTGTATATATGCATTTTATTCATAATCTCAAATTATATATTGTGCTTGATAGCATTTTGCAGTGAAAATGATGATGATGGAAATAAAAATAGTCTACACACAGGTGATATTCACTTTTTAGCCACATTTTCTCATGTCATATAATTTCATCTTAAGATCTTTTGTCGCCTTGGTAACACTAACACTCGATAACACATTCGATAACACTTTATTATTTGCTAATTTGTTAATCGTGATGGGAGTGACACGTGTAATTAATTTTATATATCAGAAGTATCAAGCATTTTACATTTTAAAATATCAGGTTTTTTATTTTTATGATTTAATTAATTATTCATATTCACCTGTACCTTATGATGTATTTTAATGGGTAAACAGTAAAATCTATACAAATGAAAAGCAAAATAATTTCAAAAATAGCGTGAATAAATGATAAAGGCGTGATATAACAAAAATCAAATAAAATAAGAATCAACCCCTGGGACAAACAAGTTCTTGTAGTTGAGGACACACCAGTATCTTGAATGTTTGTTTACATCCTTGCACATACACAAACTGTAAGAATCACGGGAAGCTCATCTCCTTTGATTCAGCTGCTCTAAACAGTTGTTTCTTTCTGTTTTGCTCCTCTCATATTCTTAGAAACTCTTTTCTTGTGTTTGTACTGTACCTTCTGCTCCCTTTCACTTCCTCCCACACTGTTCCTGCCCTCTCCTTCAACCTGTTCTTCATTCACAAATTGTTTGCACGTCGTACGATAACTCACTGTGTGGTCATTTGTGCCACTTCTTTTTTTGGCCTGGTGGAAGAAGAGATGTAAAATTGTTATTGTTTGTGATTTTAGATAAGGAATACTAATTGAAAAAAGAGCTTTTTCAAACACTGTGCCAAAGGCTGTTAACACAGATTCACCCTCTGTCCCTGCCTCCCTCTCACTCCCCCTCTCTGTTCTCTGGCAGGGCTCAGCAGACTCCTACACCAGTCGTCCTTCAGACTCTGATGTGTCTCTGGAGGAGGACCCTGAGGCTCTCAGGAAAGAAGCCGATAGACAAGCTCTCGCCACCCTAGAGAAGGCTAAGGTGTCTTACTTTTTCATGTTCTGTTCCAGTTTCTTTCAATTTCTCATTGGTCTGTTATTCAGACTCTGCTCTGAGTGAAGATAATAGACTTGATTGTTGGAAGAACATCTTTTCTGAGAGGCTGAACCCCTGAAAAACACCTGTATGATTAACTAGCTTTATGGAAATATTAGTACTTTTATTAATGTTACTGCACAAGGCAGCAAAAAAGTGTGAACGTTTGTTAAAGTTATGTTTTGTTTTAGCATTGAATTTAGAATTCAGTATCCAGTATTATGATTGTCATCACTGTCAGCTGTCATTTTTAATAGCACTCTGTTGATCAGTCAATCCATCTATTAATCAAGTTAATTGGGCATTTTTAAACTACATTTAATTAAAATAATAACAAAAACACTTAGATGTACAAACTTTGCTTTGTAGATTATTTCAGCTTTGTGTTCAATAATTTATACAGATCATAAGGCTGAAATAATCTACAAAGCAAGGCTTGTACATCTGAGTGTTTTTGTTATTATTTAATAACAGAAGTTTACTATTTTCTAACCAGAAAGTTTGAGGAATATCAATGCAAGCATTATAAGATTTTTATGTTGAAAGACACTCTTAACAATCACACACTTTACCTTTTAAGGACAGTTATTTAAAGCACAAAGCGTGCTTAAACTTTATTAGGGAATTTTTCACAGAAAAAAAGGACAGTAACTTATTACAAATGGTTATTTTGTGGTCCCACACCTCAGTCATGGAGAAACACCTGTGTAAATGATTTGACTGTAATGAATTAATAACTTGATCAGATGTGTTGATTGAGGCTTGCTGCACAAAACATGTTGCTTGCTGCTCCACTGGGATATGAGTTCAGAAGCATTATACTGTTCTGCAGTATTATTCCATCCTCTTGAATGTATATACAAGATCACTTCCATATGTTAGCTGTAAAACATGACCATGGTTCTTTCTTCCACTCTGAAGGGTTTCACTGGAGCTCTCTTTCTTTTGTAACAGTTCTCTCTGTTTATCTCTCTCATCCCTTTTCTCTCTGAAGACCAAGCCTGTAGCGTTTGCTGTGAGGACTAACGTTGGCTATAACCCAGGCCCTAATGATGATGTGCCGGTTCAGGGCATGGCTATCTCTTTCGAAACCAAAGACTTCCTGCACATCAAAGAGGTCAGACAGCCATATTTCTCTTTAAAAGTGTTAGTATAATCTGATATATAATGTAATCCTTCAACAATATATAGATCTTCAGTGTGATTATGTATATGTAATCAAATGGATGGTAACTGTAGCTAATAAGTGGAAAGTGTTAACTTGTGCATTTTTTTTGTGTGTTTTTCTGTTAACAGAAGTATAATAATGACTGGTGGATTGGGCGTTTGGTGAAGGAAGGGTGTGAGGTGGGGTTTATCCCCAGTCCAGTGAAGCTTGAGAGCACCCGTCAATTACAAGAACAGAGACTGAGACAGAACCGCCTTAGCTCCAGGTAACAGCCAATCACACGAGCCTATATCTGCTGCATTATGCTGTTTTTGCTGTGTGAAACACACATATACTCCATGCATTAATAGCTACACCTCCATTCAGAAGTTGGCGGTCAGTCATGACTGTTTTTGAAAGAAATTAATATTTGTATTCAGCAAAGATGTATTAAATTGATTTCAAGTGACAGCAAAGACATTTATGATGTTAAAAAACGATTTCAAATAAATGCTTTTCTTTTAAACTTTCTATTAATTAAAGAATCTTGAACGAAATGTATCACGGTTTCCATACATGTATTAAACAGCACATGAATAAATTATAAATGCCTTTAGAGCATTGAGCATTAGAGACTTCTTTCAAAAATATGTTAACAATATTTACAGAATCATTTTGCAGAAACATTTAAAAGGTGCCATTGACCATATTGTTGTCTTACCTACTTTCCATTGGTCTCTCTGTCTGTTTACTAGTAAGTCAGGTGGAAGCTCTAGTCTGGATGTTGCCACTGGTGCCCGGAGGCCCACTCCACCTGGAACAGGTATGATCAGACAGTAATGCTGTGAAGTTTTTGTTCTGTTGTGATGGGTTATGAAATCCCTCCAAACACACACATATACAGAACATAATCCCATTACTTTCACACTGGGTAATCATTGAACACAATGAGAGTTAGCGTGCCCTTTTAGGATCCCCTCTGCCATCCTCTTGTCCCTCTTATCACTCATTCTTCTAGTCTTCAAATCTTTTCTGTTGTTTTTTTTTTTCTTTCTTCCTTTTCTCTTTGTCATCATCATCTGTAATTGTAGTTCCAAATCTTTCTTACACTGACTGAGCTACCTGTGGTTTATGCGATCTGTCATGGCTGTGTCAGCTCTGGGAGTTTGATTAATTTGTAATCAGTGGCATTTTCTAAGGAGCCAAGTGAGGTCCTTAATATAATCGAACGAAAAATAATAAAAGTACAAAAAAACAAAAACCGTACCCAGAAATGAAACAAATATGAGTGTGCAAATAATTCAGGTTACTAAAATAACATTGCACACCAGCAGATAATTTTTTAAAGAAGGGAAGTGTTGCTTTTAACTTATTTAACTGTAGAATTCACCACTTCTGGTGACTTTTGGTAAAGTATAAAACTCACATAAAGCCAATTTTGATTGATACTTGAGACTGCAAAAAATATCCTACAGTAAAACTTTGGCAGCTGTGGTTGTCAGAAATTCACTGTAAAATATAATCAACTTATAACTTACTTATAATCATATATTTCATTAAATATATATTAATATATAAATGTACTAAAATTTGTGTTGTACCTTGAAATGTACTGATAACAACCATAATAATGCAGTTGGTAAAACAGAAAGCCACATGATGAATCAGAGTTCTTTGTAAGTGGCCTATATCTATAGAAAGTTCATCGTAAGTAGTATATGCATGACACTAAAATAATGCAATAATGTACAAATAATGTACAAAATAAGAAGAAACAAAATTATCTTAAATATTATATTAAATTATATTAAATATAATCATGTTGTGTCACCCAGGGATATCTTGGAAGGTCCTTTTACTGTTTTTCACCCTAAATTATATGGTATTTCATAGTTTTTATCTAAAAAAAACATACATTTGATTTCACAGTAAAATTACATATAATGCAATGTTGAAACATTTACAGTTTCTCACAGTATATAGTGAGGTAACTTACTGTAGCTGACGTTTTTACTGCAGGGGTTTTTTTGTGTGTGAAAATTACAAACATTTTACAGTGTATTATTGTTATTGTTTTGGAGTCAGTGTAAAAAAAAACTAGACTTTAATGTGGATTATTTTAATAAACAATTCAATGAAAAAATATATAATATTGTTTGCTTGTTGTTAGTGTAGGGTAAATTATATTTATTTAACCCATAAACCATAAACATCAAATGAAACTGGAACATGAATTTAAAAATTAATTTAAAAGCCCCAACTCCGAGAAGGGACTTTACTCCATAAAACTTGTTTGCATTTCTTGAAAAGTTCATTTCTTTTTTCATTTTGCTTGTCCTTTTTAAGACACCTTCTGTGTTCTCATCACCTTTCTGACTCAGTGAAGTCTGTACATCATGCTGCTGTTCTTCCTCTCTTCCTCCTCTCTCATTTTCTGTCCGTTATCCTTGTTTCCCTGTTCTTTCACCCTCGTTTCCTTCTCTATTTCTCTCTTCCACAACCCCCACCCCCACCCCCCATCCTCTCTTGTTTTATCCTTTCATTAAAACCCATCCACCTCCCAATTGGTCCCCTAGCTGACTTGTCCTCTGGGCTTTATGACGATTCGGATTCAGAAGTTGAGGAGGTGGAGCCTGCCAACACCCGCGACCAAAAGGGTGTGGGCGGAAGTGTCACCTCCCCTCAAGGCAACCTACCCCGCCTCCCTTTCTTTAAGAAGGTAACCCTGGTGATAACCCCAGAATGCATCAGTAGACAGCCTCCTTCAGATGTGATTAATAATCAGACTCGTTCCTAACCAAGCACTTTCTGTGTCTTTGAAACATTAGGGGAGTCTTTGCTGTTTGCGTTAGAATTCACATCCAAGGCATGAAGTTAATGCATTATTACAGGTATACCCTAGTGAAAAATAAATATATGAAAAAATATTTTAAATACATTTATTTCATGCTAAGTATACTACAGATACATTTACATATTTATGTACTTAATAAAAATACCCTGCAGTTGTACTTTTAGTATACTTAAACTGCTATACTTAAAGTCTGCTAAATTGGAACAACTAATTTTGTGTTTAATGCACTTTAATTGTGCGAAAGTAGTGCTGAAGTCCATCTAAAGATATAATTAAGTATATTTGACTGTGCTAAAGTGGAAATATATTGCAAGTGTACTTCAGGTACACTTCAAATATCTTGCATTTAAACACATTTAAGGCTTAATATTAAGAAATGAGCATTGTGCACAAGTAGTGCTCCAAATAAAGTTTAATGAAAATTTTTATATTATGTCTTGAGCGATATATCAGTAAATATGTTAATAGATTTGAATTATACTTGGTATGAAATAAATGTATTTTAAATATAAATACTTTTTTACTGGGGTAGTTAATTTAGGGTCATCATTTACTCACCCTGTATGATTATTTGCAAGAATAAATGTATGTATTTTTACAGACACAGTACTTTTTACATTTTCAATTGCTCCCCTACCAACTCATAACAGACTGCCTTAGAAGAAATTGAAATATTATAACTGGTGTAATACTTTTGTGTTGTTTTTGTTATTTGCAGAACATATATATATGTATATATGTTGTGGCATACAGACAGGATTTCTGTACCAGCCCTGTTTACAAAAAATAGTTCAGAAAGGAAAAAACTGTCAGGGTTTATTAGCTCTACAGGACAAGTATATCTCATTCAGATTGAATCGAGAAATGAATGAATCCAGCCCATGTGTCCACCCACACGTGTGGACACATGGGGAGTCTGCCATCCTCTTGCACATGCACACAAGATGAGGCAGAAACACCCTGACAGGTTTCCACGGTTTCCGTTTCCATTATGGGTCTGTGACATAGAGAGTAGCCCACGCTTGTTACTGCTGTCACAATGGCTACCGTCACACTATCTCACATGCACAGAAGCCCGACTGGGTGAATTAGAGTTGAAAATGATGACGTTAAATTGTAGATGTATTATTTTTAGCTACCCATCTGAAACTTTTGGTCAGTTATGTATTATATAACGGGACCAGAGGAGTGGGAGGAGCCACAGCAAATGGGGAGCAATTGAGCAAAAGATCTCTATCTCTGTTTTTCTCACACACGGTGATGGGTGTTAGTGAGAAAGGTCCAGGTAGGTGCTCCGGTGCCGTGAGTGCTCTCTTCCGTCTTCCCAGTGCAGAGGGTCCGTGCAGTGCTCCTGTGGGGCTGGTCGGTCACACGCTGCTTTCTGTGGGAAAAATGAGAGGGCGAGTTAGTGCTCAGTCTCATGGAGGAATCTCCTAGATGGCAGGGCTTGCGTGGCTTATGTAGCCGCCGCCTGATGAGGTGA